GTTGCGGCTCGGATAGCTCAGTGGTAACGTCTCTGACTGTGAAGCTGGGCGACACGAGATCGAATCCGCCAGGGAGCACCAGTCCCCTCAAGAATACAGGTACATCTTGCTGATGAGTGCCAAGTAGCATGAAACCTGGGTCCAGGGTTTCCTGTTGACTACCTCCAAACACCATCTACAGACTTAGTATCTATTGATCTTAGTGTCATCGACCCAGTTTAATGGACTTCACGGTTTTGACTGTTATCGTCTATTCAAAGATTATAAAAAAAATTCTTCAACTATTTACCTCACACATAGTTCATACAAAAATGTTAAGAATGTTTGCATTTTTAAAATCAAATATCCTACCAAAGTCATCAAACGTTTTAATGGCTAAGTCTATGTGAACATCAATAGTGTAGATTATTCATACTATTTAAGAAGGAATTACAAAAATGATTCGCACTTGACCATCTATCAATCAGATATAAAACTAATACAAATTACATGGAAACAATTTTCTTTAATTATCAATTCGATATATGTATATACATACCTTATTTTAAACCCAACAAAACTACGTTGTACATTGTCATTAATGACGTCGACAATTGAATATTTAATTTTAACAGATCAAAAAAACATTTACTCATCATTAAACTATTCTAATGTATAAATAATACTTACAAACGAAACTAAAGTAGTGAATTTGATTAAGTAAACTTATAAATAGTTTAATAATTAGGGATGAACATTCCTTAATTGATTACAAACAAAAAAAACGACAATAAAATGTCAAGTGAAGCTAGACCACCATGGAAAACCTGGTAACACCCGACAGACGTTCCCTCCTATTGTGAGACTCCTCAGAAGTGAGCATCCACGACCCCGCCTCTCGGGATTCGAACCCAGGACCTATCAGTCTCGCGCGATTGCGCTTAACCACTAAACCAGTGAGTCAGTTTTTACATGGTGGTCTAGTTTCAATTGATTCATGATCTCAACTATTGAAATTACTACAATCTCTACAAAACCCCTTCTGATAACAATAAAATGTGTTTTTTTTTTCAGTTGATTTATTATTTTACTAAAATTAACTTTTAGTTCACTTAAAAAGTTATCATTATCAAAAGTGGAATAGGTTAAAAAATATATCTGCATAGTGCTAATATGTTTTGTTATAAAGAAATAAAATCTACTATCTAAATGAAAACAATAAGATTCTTTGAAACAAAGTGATGTATTTATTGATTTGTCTTAAAGATTATCACCTAGAAATAATAACTCTTTTTTCTCAAATTATGTACATGTTGGCAGATTACTATCAGTTTACATATGAATTATATTACATAAATTATACAGACACTGAATACACTTATCCTAAATTTAATTGAATGCTAAGTGAATTCATTGTTTTCCGAATTCTGATTTGCAGTTGTTAGTTCAAGTGTTAAAGTTACCATAATTCATTTTATTTCATATATAGACTATTCACCACTACTCTGATGAATACTCATTTTATATAAAACGAAAGAACTTATCATTTATGTACATGAAATTTGAACTTTCAGTACATCATTTATGTCTCTTCAGTTACTGAATTCTCATGCAAAATTGTCTAAGATGAATGAAGTATGTGAAATTGAGCCCAATTCACCGAATGCCTTCAACTCAATATAAACAGAGTATTGTTAAATGAAATATTTGACGTAACATTTTTTGGCAGAGTGGATTTAATCTTACATACCTATGTTCTTGTGAACTAATTTAAGCGTCATGGAGTATATACATTATGTCAGTTTTGTTTCGCTTTCTCATGTGATGTTTACAACAGATACGTTCATGAAATAATGTGAATAAAATAAATTATACTAAAAAATAACTAGAAAATTTTAAAATCACCATCACTGCCCATGAACATAGTAGTACAAGACTAAACAAACGATATGTATGAACAATCAAGCGGTAGAAACACTAATCATTCTGTAGATACATATAGTGTCGTTTAACTCCACCTAGAGTCCCTCCGGGGGCTACTGCCCGTCCCAAGCCCGGATGAAGGAGGAGGGTTGGGCATGGGGTTAAAGACCCCGTCCCGTAGAAAAGTAACTCGCTAAAATAACGCTAACCAGAAAAATTATTCAAATCTTTTAAACTCTGCCTTGGGAGTTAGAAGGTCTTCATTTAGAAGAGTTATGACGCCTCATGATGAAAGTCGAGTTTCTTCGGAAGTTACGAGGCCGATGCCACTTCTGGTAACCAGAGCAACCATTTATTTAGGTAAGTGGAATACTCGTACGATATTGGAGACCGGGAGAGTCTTCCAAATTGCTGCAGAAATGAAGAGATACAACCTGGAGGTGCTTGGGATCAGTGAAACATATTGGACGCAAGTTGGACAACAACGAATAGCTTCAGGTGAGCGTCTGTTATACTCCGACCATGAAGAAGAAGATGCCCCACATACACAAGGAGTTGCATTGATGCTATACAAACAAACACAAAATGCACTTATAGGATAGGAATTACATGGACCATGGATCATCAAAGCCTCCTTCAGAAAAAAGAAAGAGGGCATTTCATTGAACGTCATCCAGTTTTATGCGCCTACCAACGACCACAATGAAGACGCTAAAGATCAATTCTACTATAGGCTGCAGTCAGTCATCGAGAAGTGCCCAACAAAGGACCTGACCATACTGATGGGAAATTTCAATACCAAGGTTGGAATGGACAACACTGGATATGAAGACATCATGGGACGACACAGACTGTGAGAAGGAAACGAAAATGGGGAGAGATTCGCAAACCTATGTGTCTTCAGTAAACTGGTCACAGGCGGCACTATATTTCCACATAAACGCACTCACAAAATCACATGGACTTCACCGGATCACACCACGCAAAACCAAATCGACCATATCTGCACCAAAAAAGTTCAGGAGGACGATGGAGGACGTGCGAACCAAGAGAGGAGCTGATATAGCATCAGATCATCACTTGCTGGTCGCCAAGATAGAATTAAAACTCGAGATGCACTCGACAACGGGGCGGACAATATCACAAAAGTTTAATACGGCTTTTCTTCGGGATACTGACAAACTCAACAAATTCAAGATAGCCCTCAACAATAAAGTCCAGGCCTTTCATGATCTACTCAGTTGAGAAGGAACTACTATGGAGAGCAACTGGAAGGGGATCAAAGAGGCAATCACTTCAACATGTCATGAGATCCTGGGTCACAAGAAGCACCGTCACAAGGAATGGATCACTGTTGATACACTGGATAAGATTCAAGAAAGAAGGAACAAGAAGGCAGCAATCAATACCAGTCGAACAAGAGCAGAAAAAGCCAAGGCACAAGCTGAATACACAGAAGTAAACAAACAAGTGAAGCGGAGCATCCGAGCCGACAAACGTAAATATGTGGAAGATTTAGCAACGACGGCGGAAAAGGCTGCAAGAGAAGGAAACATGAGACAATTGTATGACACGACAAAGAAACTCTCTAGAAATCGCCGCAAACCAGAACGACCAGTGAAAAGCAAAGAAGGCAAGGTAATCACCAACATTGAAGAACAACGAAACAGGTGGGTAGAACACTTCAAAGAACTCTTTGATAGCGTGGACAGAACAACACTACTCAAGCTTCTTCGATACTACGGCGTGCCTCAGAAGATAGTCAATGTCATGCAGAATTCCTATGATGGATTAAACTGCAAAATCGTGTATGGAGGACAGTTGACAAACTCGTTCGAAGTAAAGACTGGTGTCAGGCAAGGTTGCTTACTCTCACCCTTTCTCTTTCTCCTGGTGATCGACTGGATCATGAAGGCGTCAACATCTGAAGGGAAGCACGGAATACAGGGGACATCTAAGATGCAGTTAGACGATCAGACTTCACAGATGATCTGGCTCTTCTATCGCAAACGCAACAACAAATGCAGGAGAAGATGACCAGTGTAGCAGCAGCCTCAGCAGCTGTAGGTCTCAATACACACAAAGGGAAAAGCAAGATTCTCCGATACAACACAGCATGCACCAATCCAATCACAATTGACGGAGAAGATTTGGAAGATGTAAAAGCCTTTACATATTTGGGCAGCATCACTGATGAACACGGAGGACCTGATGCAGATGTGAAGGCGCGGATCGGTAAAGCAAGAGCAGCATATTTACAACTGAACAACATCTGCAACTTAAAACAACTGTCAACCAACACCAAGGTCAGGGTTATCAATTCAAATGTCAAGACAGTTCTACTGTATGGGGCAGAAACCTGGAGGACTACGAAGGTCATCATCCAGAAGATACAAGTGTTCATTAACAGTTGTCTACGCAAAATACTTCAGATCCGTTGGCCGGACACTATCAGCAACAACCAACTGTGGGAAAGAACAAACCAGATCCCAGCGGAGGAAGAAGCACTGGAAGTGGATAGGACACACATTGAAGAAATCACTGAACTGCGTCACAAGACAAGCCCTTACTTGGAATCCTCAAGGGTAAGTGAGAACAGGAAGACCAAAGAACACATTATGCCGAGAAATGGAAATAGACATGAGAAAAATGAACAAGAATTGAATGGAACTAGAAAAGAAGGCCTCGGACAGAGTGAGATGAAGAATGTGGCCTATGCTCCGTTCGGAGTAACAGGCGTAAGTAAGTAAGTATTTCTTTTTTATTACTCTAAACTTCATATAAAAGATTCTTCTCTATTGCTCAATCCAATTCATTTTTTATAGTACACTTAATCACTATTATTTTAGTACATATAAATGCTTGCATATATTACTTGTTTGTGAATGTAATTATGATAATACATATGCATAAATAAATAAAAATTCAACACAAAACAATAATATAGTACTACACTAAAATATTCTTGATTCATAAATATGTGTAAGATATTATTGAAAATTAACCAATCAAATATGATTTCACTTACTTGACAAGGTCTGACAATTTTGATTGGTTATTTAAATGTGCTAATAATATTAATGATGAATTATTATTTTGTTTAGAATAGTTTTAATAAAGCCTACGCAAAAGTTCAAGTAAATACGTTCTTATAAAAGTGATTATTTAATAAAGAATAATAATAAATTTTTTATTTCTATTTTTTTTTATCATTCACTACTGAAAAGAGATAGTGATGACACATTTTATCATTTAAGATTCTTTAATTATTGGTGTTATTGTCATTATTATCATACTAATATTTTAAATAAAAGGTTTAATGTATTAAAATTCTATTATAATCATAAAAGAAATAAAAGAATCACGCTACTTTTGTTTACTGGTCAATTAATTAGTAATTAATATGAATGAAAATGAACCAACTATGTTATTGAATGAAGCTACATTTTTAATTGGAAAAAATTCTTTCAAAATTGAACGATCCAATGAAGATGATTATGTTAATGAGATGAATCTTATAGGCCATAAAATTTGTCAAAATGGTAATCATATTAATGGTAATGATAATTATGAAGTAGATGATAATGATGATGTTGATGATTATACAGAATTACATCATGATTTAAGTACAGTACATGAATTAGATTCACATAGTATAGAATCTGAACAAACAATGAATACAACAAGAGTGTTAACCAAAAAAATTACAACAACACCTAATGGTATAATACATATATATCATACTGATAATTCACATAACAATAATTCTAATAATACAACAAGACATCAAAAACATATAAATAATTATGTTGACAATGATGAAGTAATTGATGATATGGATGATGATATTAATTGTGAAGATCAATCAATTAATGAACTTGATATAACGGATGAATCAATATATTATGAACCTTATTCTAGATCACAAATTAATGTAACATTGGGAAAACGTAATCAGCTTAATGATACATTAAATAAAAGATCTAGTAAAAGTCATACAACATTGAACAATGCCAATTGGAAAGTGTTAAAGCCAAATAAATCAAAAGATTATGTACTAGCTGTCTCACCACGTCCTCCATTACCAAGAAATATACAAACATATAATCATGGTTATTATCCAAGTAGACGTGAGCATTCACATGCAAATGAATTCCATAGTAATGTTAATGGTGGCCGTGAAGGAATAGGAGGTGGTAACAATGGTCCTTTTGATTATTGGACTATTCCAAGAAATTCTCAACCGCATTACAAGATACGAAGTTCAGAGAATAAAGAATTTTATATGCCTGGGAATTTATTTCTAAATGAAAAATCTCTACCACGTTCAAGACGTAAAGGTCATAGAAATGTTAGAGAAAAAAGTGAAGCTATACTCAGTGGATCAGGTAACACTGGAAAGCATCATAATCGTCGAAATTCTGCCAAACCTTCTGACAAGGTGGAAAGTACTGGTTTAACACAAAATAAAAGTGATATACCAAATGTAACTGATTCAGAGAAATGTCGAAGTGAATTAAAAGTAAGTTTACATTGAATTATACATATTTATTTTCAGTCTAATAATCAATTTCTATCTAATTTTGAACTGGCTCAGGCATTTTGAACTTGCTCCTTTCTAGACGCTTTATCAGACACAAAGTAAACGTAAACTAGAGTCATCTTTAAAAAACTATTAGTGATGTTCACAATAAACAGTTACTATGTGGAATTTATTCACTACTCTTAGACACTACTATCAATTGAAATACATAAGGCATATTTTGAAAGAATATTTTGATTTCAACTTGGTTTCAAACTTAAAAAATCTTCAATTTTACTTTCATAAGTCAAATTAACACATATAGAAGTTTACTTATATATAATATTTCATCAGGGTACTTAACAATATTCGATAAGATATAATGTTACACTAGATGAAAATATAAATTTACAGCTTCTTATCGATTACCTTAGGAGGTTTTTATGTCACAACTACTCTGAACAATGTTGAGTTTATTTCCTTAATACAACACTAACGGTGAATTTGGTAAATACTATGATTTTGAAATCTTTTAGAAAATGTTTGTAATTACGAAATAACTTGGACATATCAAAACACGTTACAGTTCAAGTAAGTTTAATGACTGTAAAAAAATTATATTGTAACTAGACAAGTACCTAGTTTCTTATTTTTCTAGTGATGACAGATATACTTCCATTATTGTTAAGTAAATATAATATATTTGCAGAAGGCTATTGTAGTAATATATAAATAAGACAACCTAACGTTAAACAGGGTGCTGACACATTTTGGTTTGTATAAGCGGACGAAATCAACTTTTCAACTATCAGTGTAGAGTATTTTAAAACCAAGACGTGTCAGCACTTTGTTTAACGTTAGGTTGTCTTATTTAAGAAATCACAATAGTATGATACAAACATCTAAATATACAGATTAGATTATGTAAATATAAGTCGTTCGGTCATTTCTGAAAGCATTCGACTTAGTACTTCTCACTTCAACAATTTTCATGGTTATTACTAGCACCATAGAACTTCAGTTTAAATTTGTAAAAGTAAATATCAATTTTGGTTCCAAACGTGCAAAATATTTTTCTGCAAATAGCAACTGATTTTGTTTGATTTTGTACTAGATGGCGCACCATCTATAACTCACTATTATTAAGTGTGTACATATTCATTGATGTATTCATAATAAAACATCAAATAATTTCAAATACATAAAATATGAGGATCAAACTTCATCATAGAATAATTGGATTTAGAATTTTGGACTTCTCTTTTAGCCACCACAGTCTAACGGTTAACAACTTGGTAAATGATTTATTTTATACGTTCTTTCATTAGCAGTCACTTTTTATATCTTTATTTTATTATCAATATGGCTTTAATACTGCGACTGACATGTTATCTATGACATAGTAATTTTAAATTTCACTATGAATAAATCAGCGTTATACACATCTGATTACATATAAATATATTCATCCGCAGCGACCAAATTAAAATATGTCAGTATAGTATAATTGTATTGAGTTTTGTTTCAAATTGAGTTGACTAGTGAAATCAACCAACTTTTGATTTGAAAAAAATAGGTGAAATAGTGCATAAGGGATCGGGGTAGTGTAATTATCGTTTATCGCTAAAGAGTTTTCCATATCTTTTATTTATCACTTTCGTCTGTTTTTGTTTTAAATATCATTAATTCTCGTATTCATTTCCTCCCGTTCATATTTTATTCTGTCGTATTCATATATTTCTGATCAGATAAACAAAATATATCACATTTCGAAACCGTTTTTCTTATTTGTACATTGTATTCATTATTAAGTCCTAAGTATTTAGTTAGCTATCCATGACTATTTTGTAAATCATCTATTGTTAAAATACTTCAAAGAGTTTAGTTAACTAAACGAATTACACTGATTGAAATCATGAGTCAATTGAAGGTAGACCACCATGGAAAACATGGAAACACTGAGCGGCCGTTTCAGACTAGTATGGGACGCCTCAGCAGCGCTCATCCACGATCCCGCCCCACAAGATTCGAACCCAGGACTTGTCAGTCTCGCACGCGAGCGCTTAATCAACTAGACCACTGAGCCGGCATCCGACGGTTTTACTGCCTAACGTCAACCAATCCACGAAATTGCGCCACCATACACCGTTGTCTTCAGTGAGTTGATATCTCACAACAGACTTGGTTGAGCTCCACTGGTAACGACTTCTCACTAGAACTCCAGGAGATTCTCTTGAAGTCAGTCACTAGTGAGCAAATGGTTATTATCAAAAGGGGTTTTGTGGAGATTTTAGAAATTTCACTGATTAATATCATGAGTCGATTGAAGCGGGATCGTGTATGCACACTGCTGAGAAGTCCCATACTAGGACGAAACGACCCTCCAACGCTTCCAGGTTTTCCATCGTGGCCTAGCTTCAATTGACTCATGATTTCAATCAGCGACATTTCTAAAATCTCCACAAAACCCTTTGTGATAAAAAAGTTACAGTTTAGTTAAGGTTTTTTCTCTAAAATTAAAAGAAAAAACTATATGATTTCTGAAAAAAAAATACATTGATGATAAAAATAATAATTTTTAAACACATGATGATCCGTTAGATATTTTTTTAATATTAAGACACTATTTTTTCAAAAAAGTTATCAAGATTTTTACGTTACTGATGTACAATGGTAACTTTTTATGACTACGGTTGAGTGAAGTTTGCATTTATCAAACATTTTAACAACCCCCCCTCCATAAAAAAAACAAATAAAAATAAATACCGAACTAACATCCCCATTTATATTCTCATAACTTTGATGATAATTATTTATGATGATGTATTTATTGATTATTCTTTACAAATTGAAAAAAAGTCTATTCATCGTTAGAACATTCTTGATAAATTTCATTGAGTTAAAGTCATATAGTAACAAACAAGTTAGTTAGTTATTATTTTAGATGCACATTTTTCTCAGTTGGATTAAAAAATCAATACTGATAGAAATCAATAATTAATAGTGAACTGTGTACATTACTATTAGTTTATAAATAAAGATACTTGAGAAAAGTGTTTATATTTGTTGTTTGTTATGTTTGTAAATAGTTTTATATTGATTTATTCAGTATAATTTGTATGGATAATCAAAACAATTTTTTTGATTTTAAACAATGATGTAATACAATGTGTAATTAGATAAACATAGGCAAACAATGTATTTAATATTAAATAAAGTAGTGATAAGAAATGTGTGAATGCAACACATTTCATTTAGTGTACTGTATTCTAAGCTACAAGAGTAAGTTATTTGATTACTACTTAGTGATTCATATTTTATAATTATAAGGTTATAACTATGATGACAAGCTATTCAGATATGTGTGATAAGCCCTTTTTATTCTTGGTTTTTAAAAAAATTTGTGATGTGAATTTCTGTTCTTTTTAAATATTCCATAATAGTCAGTTTAACCTACGGCTTGTCGTTCAGATATCTAAGGGAGTTACATTTGTGAACTTTGATTTCGTTCGAGTTATGATTATTTATGTGATATAAATTCAATAACAGTAATTACACAAGCAAATGGCTAACAGAACCCAGTGGTTAAGTGAATAACGCGATGGCGTTTGGTGCGAAAGGTTCAGGGTTTGAGTCTCGGAATGAGCATCAACTCTGAGATGCAGGCACATCCAGTTGACGAGTCTCAAATAGGACGAAACGCGCGTCTTAGATTCCTCTGCTAGCCACCATACATCTTTGCTTATCATTTTTTTCTCATCGAAATGTTTCTTGATACACTGGTAGATCATGTCATAGCGAATAATGAATATTAGTAGTTAAACAGAACTACAAATATTTAACGCCTATATACATCACGTATTGGTTACATTCTTAGTTAACTACATAGTTCAGTAAGAACGGAATTGGGATTTTAAATTGTAAACTGTCTCCTTACACAGAAATTAATTAGTTACACACACACACCAACTAGGTATATATATATATATATATATATATATATATATTGCATAACAAAAATGCTTGAAATGAAAATTATTTTCAACAGCTATCACAATGTTAATGTTTAAAGTATGTCGACCATTGAATGCTTATACACAGTTTAATTGAAGCGTGTTAAGGTGTTTTGATATTACTATTTTCAAAGTTGATGTTTAAGTTATTATTATTATTATTATCAGCTTTATTCAATATTATATTTTTGGTACAATATAGAATTCTCAGCGTAAAGTATTTCAACAAGTTTCCGTTTCTTTCTTTTTGGTCGATCCTGGCGATAAATATTGAGTGATCGCCAGTTAGATGTTAGCAGTTCATTAAATGAACATCTGAATAATGTGCATTCTTTTCGTTGTATATTGCCAGCAACCACATTGTCTCTTATTGAGTTTTTTGTAACTTTGACAACGAAAGGTTGTACACTTTTCAGAAACGCAGCAGAATAGGTCATGTGATTAATAAACATAAAGATATATTAAAACAAACAAAAACAAAAGTAGATAACTTGTTGAAATATCTAGATGGCAGGAACAGGTAGCCCAGATGCTCAAGCAGGCCGCCCTTTATATGTTTATTTGGTACACTGTCCAAGTACTTTGATAACAATAACAAAATGACATGAAATTTCTCGTTCTAAAAATTAAAGATTCAAACTGATCTAATACGAATAGCTTTTTTTATAAATATTTTCATTTGGTTTGAAAATTACTTTACTGCATAAGAGATATTGATTAGATGTTTATATTCATTATCAAATCTTTCGTTACTTTGATTATATTCAAATGACTTTTTTGAGTAATATATACATTTATAGTGTGAGTCCATTATAACTGTATGTTTCTTTGTCTGTCTATTCAAAACTGAATTCATATTATAAAGTAGTTTGACAAATATTCAACAAAAATTCACTAGCCTAGTTCATTCTTCATAGTGCTGAAATTAATCAACTGACTACTCACAGAAACCATGGTGATACTGCTTATTATATGTTAACTAACTAG